CCAGCGGCTCCTTGTCCTCATTGTAGTTGGTCCCGTCCTGAATGCTGCCCGTCCGCCGCACCACTACACAGCCCCGACAGTCAAAGCAGAGCAAAAATAGTAATTATTTTAAAAGTAATAATAAACAATAATATACTAATAACAATGCATTGCGCGTACTGGTGGCCGGCTTGGACAGGCCATTCACGCCATAGCCTTCATCACGAGAAGTCATCGGGATCTGTGACAACGTTGGAATAAGTATGGTAACAAAGAGAAGGGCCGCAATGGTCCAAGAAATGAAGATGTGAAGCGATGAAATGACAAAATTTTCAATTTCGGGTTCGCACGTGATCCTCCGATTCCGTTCCTGTCCTCATCTCATACGGAGCTCACCGCGTGGCGATAGATGGGTTGTTACCTTCTCAGATGCAACTCGTTGCGGGAGACCGTCTCGTGCGCTGTCGGCTCTCCGTCGAAAAGGCCAGCGAAGAAGAACCAAGAAAATGCTAAACCCAAAACAAAAATTAAATGCTGAATATAAATAAAAATAGTGTGATTTTTAGAAAGCCTTCACTCCCCCGCCACTTCAACCGTACGGGCGCAGGATTCCAAATCATTTCCATTACTGGGCCACAGAAGCTCTAAAGAAATTGAATTTCCGACAGTTTCCCCATGGCCTGATTTATTTTCTTTGTGGTATGGTAGCCATGTCTTGTATTTGAGTGCAATCTACAACCGGTCATGGCACTGCGTGTGGCGTTCTTGGGTGTTGGTACCCTAGGCCCATAGCCGCCTCCTGCTCTCCTGCCGCTCGCTGTACGTTGCTGAGGATGTGTGTGTGCAGGGGCGATGGGCTACCCAATGGCTGAGCACCTGCTGAAGAAGGGCCACCAGGTGTGGGTCTGGAACCGCACCAAGGACAAAGCCCTCCCACTGCAGTGCGCCCTCCTCTTCCCACCTCGCTTCTTACCATCGATGCATCTATTTTTATTGTTATTTGTACCGGCTGCTGTGCATGCAGAGAAGCTGGTGCGGTGGTGGTGGACCGCGTGGAGGAGGCGGTGGCTGCGGCCGACGTCGTGGTGGCGATGCTGTTTGACGCTGGCGCGGTGCAGGCCACCATTCTCGACTCCGGCCCCGTGCGCGAAGCGCTGCGCGGGCGCACCCTGGTCAACTGCGCCACTGTCGCCCCGGCCGACAACCAACGCTTCCAACGCGACGTGCTCGCCCTCGGCGCCTCCTTCGTAGAGGCTCCCGTGCTCGGCGCCACCCCCGTGGCCCAGCAGGGTGCCCTGCAGGTACAAAACGCAAGCACCGCCTACACGACACAAACCTAATGAACCCAACGAACAGGTGCTGGTGGGCTCGACGGCGGAGCAGTTCGAGCAGCTCAAGGACATGTTTGCCGCGTTCGGCACGCCGCGCCACATCAGCGAGGACATCGGGCGGGCCACCACCCTCAAGCTGGCGCTCAACCAGATCGTGCTGGGCGAGATCGTCACCTTCGCCAACAGCCTCGCTATGGTCAAGAACGCGGGTACGATGAGTTATTGTTCACATTGATGCAATGACTGCGCCTTTGTTGCTCATCAACGGCGGTGCGAGTGGTCTGGGGGCGGGAGCAGGGCTGAGCGAGGAGGCGCTGATGGAGGTTCTTCGTCCCAGCCAGCTCTATTCCAAGTACTTCGACCTCAAGATGCCCACCATGGTGAGCCGCGACTTCAGCTCGGTCGTCTTTGACATCTCCGGTGCGTGTGCTCTCCCACGTTCATTGATTTCCAGCTTTGTGTGTGTGTGTCGCCCGGTACTGACCGATCATCTCTCTCGCCCCACAAGGTGCCAAGAAGGACAGCGGAGCTCATCTCGGCTGAAGCGGCACGACTCGGTA